ATAAACTCAAAATGTATAAAAGACTTAAGTGTAAGATGTGAAACCATAAAAGTCCTAGAAGAAACCATAGGCACAAAATCTCAGACATTTCTCATAACAATATGTTTACCTAGGACAACAGGTTTATTTTATACCTAAGGAGAAAATAAACAAATGGGACATTAAAATAAAAAGCTTCTGCTCTGCAAAAGAAACTATTAACAAAATAACAAGAGAGACACTACATGGGAGAACATATTTGCCAATGATACATCCAATAAGGGGTTAATCTCCAAACTATATAAGGAACTCATACAACGTAACAAAAGGAAGATACTCCAATTAAAAATGGGCAAAGGACCTAAATAATTTAGACACTTCTCCAAAGTGGACATACAGAAAGCCAAATGACATATGAAAAAATGCTCAAAGTCACTGATCTGAGGATGCAAATCAAAACAATGGGGAGGTATCACCTCAGAATGGCTACCATCAACAAATCAACAAATAAGTGTTGGCAAGGTTGTGGAGAAAAGGGAACCCTAGCACACTGCTGGTGGGAATGCAGACTGGTGCAGCCGTTATGGAAAACAGTATGAAGTTTTCTCAAAAAAATTAAAAATGGAACTTCCATTTGACCCAGTGATCCCACTTCTAGAAACCTGAAACACTCATCAGAAAGAATATATGCACCCCTATGTTCATAGCAGCACAATTTACAATAGCTAAGAATTGGAAATAGCCTATATGTTCATCAGTAGATGAGTGGATAAAAAAACTGTGGTACATTCACACAATGGAATACTACACAGCAATAAAAAAGAAAGACCTCTTACTATTTGCAACAGCATGAATGGACCTGCAGGGTATTATGCTGAGCGAAATAAGCCAGTCAGAGAAAGATAAATATCACATGATCTCACTCATATGTGGAACCTAATGAACTAAATAAACTGATGAACAAAAGTAGACCCTGAGACATAGAAGCATGAACAGACTGTTGAACCTCAGAAAAAAGGCAGGGGAGGATGGGTGAGAAGAGATCAACTAATGAACTTGAAAGGGCGAGGGCTATGCCCTCCATCTTGCCCTGGATCCTCCATTTTTGGGCAGCAGCCATTAGCCATGTGCTCAGCAAGGGGCTTCTTCCCAGAAGCCCAAGCCTCTGCTAGCCACACCTAGGATTTCTTTAAACTAACCAATGATTATCAAGGGAAGTGCGCGCCATAGACACAACCACATCCTGTGTAACAAGATCCCGACTTGCGCCTGGCCAATCGACAGGGCCCACAGTCCTCTCTCCTCCCCTTACTCCAACCCCCCTATAAAACCCCTCTCCCCACAGAGCTCTCTCTCTCTGCCTCCTGCCGCTGCATCGGCAAGTGTGGTGGACGGGGAGCTCGAGCTAGCTTGAATAAAGACTCTTTGCTTTTGCATCGGACTCGGCGCTCCCTGGTGGATCTTTGGGGGATCTTGAAATCTGGGCATAACAGAACTTACATGCATATACACATAACCCGTGGACACAGACAACAAGAGTGGTGAGGGCTGGTGGTGGGGAGCGAGAGGAGGATAGGCTGGAATAGGTTATTGGGGAAAAAGAGGACCTATGTAATACTTTCAACAATAAAAAGACAGAGAGACCAAAAAAACAATACAAAAGGTCAACAAAACCAAGAGCTGGTTCTTTGAAAGGATAAACAAGATTGGTGAACCTCTAGCTAGGCTCAACAATGAGCAAAGAGAGAGGACCTAAATAAACAAAATCAGAAATGAAAGAGGTGACATAACAACTGATCCCACAGAAATACAAAGGATTATGAAAAAATACTATGAACAACTCTATTACAACAAAATGGACAACCTAGATGAAATGGACATATTCTTAGAAAAATACAAGCTCCCAAAACTCAATCAGGAGGAATCAAAAACCCTGAATAAGCCATTAACTACCAAAGAAATTGAAGCAGTGATCAAAAATCTCCCAGCAAACAAAAGCCCTGGTCCTGACGGCTTTACAGGGGAGTTCTACCAAGCATTCAAAGAACTAAAACCTATCCTCCTTAGACTATTCCAAAATATTCAAGAGGAAGGCACACTTCCAAGCTCTTTCTAGGAAGACAGCATTACCCTAATTCCAAAACCAGATAAAAACCGGACAAAAAAAAGAGAACTACAGGCCATAATCCTTGATGAACATAGATGCTAAAATTCTCAACAAAATTCTAGCAAATCGGATTCAGCATTACATTAGAAAGATCATACACCATGACCAAGTGGGATTTATTCCAGGAATGCAAGGATGGTACAATATCCGCAAATCACTAAACGTGATACATCACATAAACAAATTGAGAGACAAAAATCACATAATCATATCAATCGATGCAGAAAAAGCATTTGACAAAATCCAACACCATTTCTTGATAAAAACTCTCATCAAAGTGGGACTAGAGGGATCATACCTCAACATAATAAATGCATTATATGACAAACCTACAGCCAACATCATACTCAATGGGCAAAAACTAAACTCATTTACCCAAGAACGGGAACAAGACAGGGATGCTCACTTTCACCACTCCTGTTCGATATAGTACTGGAAGTGCTAGCCACAGCGACCAGACAAGAAGAAGAAATAAAAGGCATCCAAATTGGAAAAGAAAAAATAAAACTGTCCTTATTCACATATGACATGATACTATACATAGAAAACCCTAAAGACTCCATCAAAAAACTACTAGACCTAATAAATTAATTCAGCAATGTAGCAGGATACAAAATTAATGCCCAGAAATCTATGGCCTTTTTATACACCAATAATGAACTCATAGAAAGCAAAACTAAAAAAAAAAAAATCCCATTTACCATTGCACCCAAAAAATTAAAATACCTAGGAGTAAACTTAATGAAGGAGGTAAAAGACCTGTACTCGGAAAACTACAGGACATTGAAAAAAGAGATAGAAGAAGACATAAACAAATGGAAGAATATCCCATGGTCATGGATTGCTAGAATCAACATCATTAAAATGTCCATACCACCCAAAGCAATCTACAGATTCAATGCAATCCCCATTAAAATACCAACGGCATATTTCAAAGATCTAGAACAAACTCTCCAAAAATTCACCTGGAATAAAAAAGACCCCAAATAACCACAGCAATCCTGTGAAAGAAGAACAAAGTTGGAGGGATCACAATACCAGATATTAAGCTATATTACCAACCCACAGTTCTCAAAACTGCTTGGTACTGGCCCAAGGACATACAGACCAATGGAACAGAACAGGGAACCCAAAAATAGACCCAAGCCATTATGCTCAATTAATATTTGACAAAGGAGGCAAGAGCATACAATGGAGCCAAGACAGTCTCTTCAATAAATGGTGCTGGGAAATTTGGTCAGATACATGCACAAATGAAACTGGACTACCAACTTGCACCATACACAAAAACAAACTCAAAATGACTAAAGGACTTAAATGTAAGACGGGAAACCATAAAAACCCTATGAGACTCCATAGGCAGCAAAATAGCAGACATGTGTCTTAGCAATATCTTTAACCGACACAGCTCCTAGGGCAGTGGTTCTCAACCTTGGCTGCACATTAGAATCACCTGGGAATCTTTTTAAAATCCTGATTTCTGGGCCTCATCCTCTGGAAATTCTGTTTCTTTGTTATGGGGTGGGGCCACAACATTAGTAACAAAGAAACAGAATTTCTGGAGGATGAGGCCCAGAAATCAGGATTTTAAAAATATTCCCAGGTGATTCGAATGTGCAGCCATGGTTGAGAACCACTGTCCTAGGGCAATGGAGACTAAGGAGAAAATAAACAAATGGGACTACATCAAAATAAAAAGCTTCTGCACAGCAAAAGAAACCATCAACAAAACAACAAGAAAGCCCACTGCATGGGAGAACATATTTGCCAATAATATTTCAAATAGGGGTTTAATCTCCAAAATTTACAGAGAACTCATACAACTTAACAGAAGGAAGATAAACAATCCAATAAAAAAATGGGCAAAGGACTTAAACAGACACTTTTTGAAAGACGACAGATAGAAGGCCAAGAGACATATGAAAACATGCTCAAAGTTACTAATCACCCGAGAGATGCAAATCAAAACAACAAGGTACCATCTCACACCTGTCAGAATGGCTGTCATCAACAAACGACAAGAGCTGGCAAAAAAGGAACCCTCGTGCACTGCTGGTGGGAATGCAGACTGGTGCAGCCACTGTGAAAGACAGTATGGAGTTTCCTCAAAAAGTTAAAAATGGAACTCCCATTCGACCCAGTAATCCCACTTCCAGGACTATATCCCAAGAAACCAGAAACACCAATCGGAAAGGATATATGTACCCCTATGTTCATAGCAGCACAATTTACAACAGCTAAGATTTGGAAACAGCCTAAGTGCCCATCAGCAGATGAGTGGATTAAAAAACTGGTACATCTACACAATGGAATACTACGCTGCTATAAAAAAGAAGGAACTTTTAACATTTGCAACAACATGGATGGAACTGGAGAACATTATGCTAAGCGAAATAAGCCAGTCAGAGAAAGATAAATATCACATGATCTCACTCATATGTGGGATATAATGATCAACATAATTTGATGAACAAAAATAGATCCAGAGACAAATGGCAGGGGAGGGTGGAGGGGTGAGAGAGCAACCAAAGGACTTGCATGCATGCATATTAGCATAACCAATGGACACAGACACTGGGGCGGTAGGGGCTTGCCCAGGGTGGGAATGGCTGGGAGGGGGGGGGGGCAATTGGGGTAAAAGGAGACAAATGTAAAACTTTAGACAATAAATAAAAAAATTTTTTTTAAAAGTATATAAAAAATATTATCTGATAAGGAATAACAACAATAACAAAGACAATTTCTAAGCACAACCTGGGTTTTTTAGTATCACCAGAGAAAATATTCATCTTCAGATTTTACCATTGTAGATAACATTTAATGAAAACAACAAAACTAAGGAAACTAAAATTACCTGCTCTTCCCTCTCCTTTTCTTTGGTCTTACTTCTGTAGACTCTAGAACAGGTGGCATCCTGAGAAGGAATGGCAGACAGTGGATGCAGTGGCATGCTCATCCCAGCCTCCTGTCTGGTCGTCTTCTTTACAGAAGAGAGTCTCCAGTGGTAGAGGCATTTTGGGCCATGGACCTAAGCTGAGAGAGAGAAAACAGATATAACTGAGCGAAAACACTTTTAGTACACTGGATAACTCCTGTCTCATTAAAAAATTTTTTTTATTAATCTTTATTGTTAACAGTATTACAGATGTTCTCTTTTTCCCCCACATTGACCCCCTTCACCCTGCTCCCACCCCCTCCCCAGGCCTTCACTGCACTATTGTCTGTGACCATGGGATATGCATATATGCATATTAGTTCTCTGGTTAATCTATTCCTGCCCACCCCCTTCCCTTTGAAATACGTCAGTCTGTTGCAAGCTTTAATGTCTCTGGATTTATTCTGTTCATCAGTTTATTTTGTTCATTAGATTCCACATGTAAGTGAGATCATGTGATGCTTGTCTTTCTCTGACTAGCTTATTTCATTTAGCATAATACTCTCCAGGTCCCTCCAAGTTGTCTCAAAGAGTAAGAGATCCTTCTTTTTACAGCTGCATAGTATTCCACTGTGTAAATGTATCACAGCTATATTATCCATTCCTGTACTGATGGGCACTTGGGCTGTTTCCAGATCTTAACTATCTACACTAATAAAAGACAAACATGCAAATTGAGCATACTTTCGCTACGCCTTAAGCCACGTCCACCAGCCAATCAGAGCGACTATATGCAAATTAACCCAACCAAGATGGAGACTGGCAGCCACGGAGCTGGAGCAAGCAGGAGGCTTGGTTGCCCCAATGATGGAGGAAGCCAAGCTTCCTGCCTGCTGCAGGCAGCTCTGAGCTCCACTCAAAGCAACAAAGTTTCAATTATAGAAGGTAAATAAATCCCAGAATAAAAAAAAAAAGAAAAAAAGGAGAGGCTGGGAGCTTCCATCGCCGGGGGGCTTGGCCAGCCTGAAAACGGCCCTCAGCCCCTCACCCAGACTGGCCAGGCACCCCAGTGGGGACCCCCCCCCACCCTAAAGGGGATGTGGCCAGCCTGAAAACAGCCATCAGCCCCTCACCCAGGCTGGCCAAACCTCCATAGGGTAAGGGTCCCCACTTGGGAGGGGGGGGCCTTGACCAGCCTACAAAGAGCCATCAGCCCCTCACCCAGGCTGGCCAGGCACCCCAGTGGGGACCACCACCCTGAAGGGGGTGTGACCAGCCTGCAAACACCCATCAGCTCCTCACCCAGGCTGGCCAGGCACCCAAGCGGGACCCCCACCCTGATTTGAGACACCCTTCAGGGCAAACCAGCTGGCCCCCACCCATGCACCAGGCCTCTATCCTATATAGTAAAAGGGTAATATGCAAACTGACCCTAACAGCAGAAAGACTGGGAATGACTAGTCACTATGACACATACTGACAACCAGGGGGCAGATGCTCAATGCAGGAGCTGTCCCCGGGTGGTCAGTGCACTCCCACAGCAGGAGCTCTGCTCAGCCACAAGCCAGGCTGATGGTTGCCAGTACAGCAGTGGTGGTGGGAGCCTCTCCCGCCTCCTCAGCAGCACTAAGGATGTCCGAATGCAGTGTAGGCCTGCTCCCCGCTGGCAAGTGGACATCCCCTGAGGGCTCCCAGGCTGTCAGAGGAATGTCTGACTGCCAGCTTGGGCCCAATCCCCCAGGGAGCGGGCCTAAGTCAGCAGGTGGACATCCTCTGAGGGGTCCCAGACTGCAAGAGGGAATAGGCTGGGCTGAGGGGCCCCCCCGAGTGCGCAAAGTTTTGTGCACCGGGCCTCTAGTCCTATGTAATAAAAGCCTAATATGCTAAGTGTCTGGTTGGTCCAATCAGCCATTCAACCAATCAAAGTGTAATATACTAACGATATGCTAAGGCCACTCAACCACTCACTATGATGTGCACTGACCACCAAGGGGCAGACAGTCGACCAGTCGCTATGATGTGCACTGACCCGCAGGGGCAGATGCTCCAATCGGTAGGTTAGCTTGCTGCTGGGGTCCAGCCAATCGGGACTGAGTAAGATGGGCTGGACACACCCTGGAGCCCTGCCACAGTCCCACCCTGGCTGGCCAATCTCCTGCATCCCTTCCTGGCCCCAAACATGCACCTGTGGGGTCCCTTGACCTGGCCTGCACCCCCTCAGAATCCAGGACCCCTCGGGGAATGTCGTAGAGCTAGTTTCGGCCTGATGGTGGAATGACCAGTAGCTATGATGCACACTGACCACCAGGGGGCAAACACTCAACTCAGAAGCTGCCTCCTGGTGGTCAGTGCATTCCCACAGGAGGAGTGCCACTCAGCCAGAAGCCAGGCTCACAGCTGGCAAGCAGTGGTGGCGGGAGCTCTCCCACCTCTGCGGCAGCACTAAGGATGTCCGAGGTGAGCGGGCCTAAGCCATCAGCCAGACACCCCCTGAGGGCTCCTGGACTGCAAGAAGGCACAGGCCGGGCTGTGGGACCCCCACCCCCCGAGTACACGAATTTCGTACACTGGGCCTCTAGTCCTATATAATAAAACCCTAATGTGCAAATCGAACGAACAGCGGAATGACTGGTCACTATGACACGCACTGACCACCAGGGGGCAGACGCTCAGCGTAGGAGCTGCCCCCTGGTGGTCAGTGCACTCCCACAGGGGAAGTGCCACTCAGGCAGAAGCCAGCTGACAGCTGGAGAGTGCAGCAGTGGTGGCAGGAGCTTCTCCCGCCTCTGTGGCAGCACTAAGGACCCCTCAGGGAATGTCCACCTGCCGGCTTAGGCAGACATCCCCAAGGGGTCCCGGACTGTGAGAGGGCGCAGGCTGGGCTGAGGGCCACCCCCCCACCAGTGCATAAATGTCATGCACTGGGCCTCTAGTTGTAAATAATGCTGTTATGAACATAGTGGTGCATATATTCTTTCTGATTGACGTTTCAGGATTCTTATATATATTCCTAGAAGTGGGATCACTGAGTTAAATGGCAGTTCTATTTTTAATTTTTTTAGGAACTCCACTTTTTTAGGAAAACTCAACTGTTTTCCATATGGTTGTACCAGTCTGCATTCCCACCAACAGTGTATTAGGGTTTCTTTCTCTACACATCATTTTTTTTAATCTAAAATAAATTTAAGATATCTACGATCCATACATAACCTTCTAAAAGCGTATACTCTCTAAACTAGTTGTTGGCAAAATTTTCCTGTAAATGGCCAGATATTTTAGTTGTAACAAATCTGGCCCATAATACCTAAAATATTTAGCATCATGAGCCAGATTTGTTACAACTACTCAATTCTGCCATTGTAGCATGAAAGCACCCATATCAAGTATGTAAATGAATGAAAATGGTTATGTTCCAACAAAAGTTTACTTACAAAAACAGATGGTGGACTAGATTTGACTCATGTGCCTGTAGTTTACTAACCCCTGCTCTAAAGGGTTTCCCAGGGAAGATGAAGGTCACCATGGACATTCCTGGGACCATAAAAAGGCTGCCTTTAGGCAAAATAATAGTGCCCGAATAAGCTATATTCAACGATTCTAGGCACCCCAGTTTCTTTTTCTAGTTTTCTCCTATATTCCTCCAACGTGTCTAGTAATTGGAATGTGTGTTTTTTCTCTCTCTCTCTATTCCCCCAGCCCCACTAAGACCTATCAAACACTGTTTACAAAACCAATTAAATATAAAATATCCAAATTATCCATAAGGTTTAAGATAGTCATTTTTCATGCTATTATAATTTTTTTAAAGAACTTCAACATTTTTAAAATATATATTAATTGTATTATTTTTACTAGAGGCCCAGTGCATGAATTCGTGCACTGGTGGGGTCCCTCGGCCTGGCCAGCGATGGGGGCCAATCAGGGCCATCTCACCCAGTCCCAATCAGTGCCGGCTAGCCGGGGAGGGACTGCAGGAGGTTGGCTGGCTGGCTGGAGAGGGACCGCGGGAGGGCTCCAGGGTGTATCCGGCCCTCTCACCCAGTCCCAATTGGCTGGACCCCAGCAGCAAGCTAACCTACCGGTTGGAGCGTCTGCCCCTGGTGTTCAGTGCATGTCATAGCAACTGGTCGAGTGGTTGACTGAACAGTTGACCCATTGGTTGGACATTTACCATATTATGCTTTTCTTATATAGGATTGATTTTAGAGAAGAAGGGAGAAGGAGAGAGAGAAACATCAATGATGAGAGAGAATCATTGATTGCATGCCTCTTACACGCCCCCTACTGGGGATCTAGTCTGCAACCCAGGCATGTGCCCTTGATTGGAATTGAACCCAGGACCCTTCAGTATGCAGGCGGATGCTCTATTCACTGAGCCCTACCAGCTAGGGCCATGGTGTTCTAATTTTAACAAAGGATAGAAGTCTTGAACCAAAAGAATGCATCTCTAATTTGGGGATTTTCATTTGTTAACCATGTACTGGGCTATGGGATGGTAGGCAGGGAGAGTAAACAGGGACTGGCAGCCCTAAAGTTGCATTTGATGAGCAGCCATTTTTATTCCACTTCTCCCAAAACTGCTCTGAATAAAGGGTAGGTGTTTGCAAGGCTGCTCCCACTTCCAAGAATATTGCTCACTCAGCTGAAGAAGAAAAGGACTCAAAAAAATTGATTTCCTTCATAAGACTCTGATTAACAAGCAATTGGAAAGAATAAGAAACTGAAAGTGGTCAACACATATGGGAAAATGAGCTAAAAGAACATTCTGTTTTTACAAGTCTAGATATATAATAGGTGGGACACCGCTGATAACCAACAAAACAGGAAAATAGAATAGATGATGTTAGTGTCTAGATCAGCGGTTCTCAACCTGTGGGTCGCCACCCCTTTGGGGGTCGAATGACCCTTTCACAGGAGTCGCCTAAGACCATCGGAAAACACATACATAATTACATATTGTTTTTGTGATTAATCACTATGCTTTAATTATGTTGAATTTGTAACAATGAAAATACATCCTGCATATCATATATTTACATTACGATTCATAACAGTAGCAAAATTACAGTTATGAAGTAGCAACAAAAATAATTTTATGGCTGGGGTCACCACAACATGAGGAACTGTATTAAAGGGTCGCGGCATTAGGAAGGTTGAG